TGTTTCATAGATACACTCCTCCCTGAGTTTGGCAACATGGACTTATCATTGGATGGCGCGCTTAACGACTGTTTATGTTTTTCAAAATTTTATTCCTCAATTTCAATTGGTCAAAAATAACGAAGTATAGATACACTACAGAGTGTTACAGATATTTTTTAAATCTAGAACGTGAAGATGTTTTAAAAGGTGGTCCAATTGGGACTCTCGGTTGCCAAACTATACGAGACGTGTAAATTACGAAATACATCCCGCTCTCCAATTATAATTTCTAAATGCATACTATAAACTTAGTTTTATACAGGGATAGGAAATATCAAGCGGTGACATTTTTAGATTGCAAGTGCAAAATTGGTGGCCGGGGAGGGGGCGGATGATTATATATATATTTAAATACTCCCAAACAATAAATTTGGTGACCACATTTGTAGAAAAAGAAAGTATGCACAGTTTTAGGAAAAAACATGGCTGGGAATAATATGAGCCAAAAATATGCTAAAATTGAAGAAAATGTATTTAGTAATTTTATACTGTTATTTCCAGACGCGACTAAATATACTTGCCGAAGCGGATGTTCCAATATGGGTATCGCAATTACACGTTCAACGTGATGACGTCATCAAACGTGCCGATGACCTTGAAAACTTCTTGAGAGTTGCGTTTGCTCATCCCAAAGTAGAAGGAATAACACTGAATGGATTCTGGGACGAAAAGGTTGTCCAGCCTGATACAAGCCTCGTAGACACCAATGAATTCAATGTATGTACCAATTTGCTCTAGATATTAAATGAAGAATTCGCATTGAACTGAGTGCTGCCTGAGTTGTGTCTTGCTGTGCTTTTCTATATATCCATGTAGGCCTAAAAACGTCCCATATAGACTCGAATAATTTGTTGTTTCTAATATAACTACATACACATATCGTGAATGAATGAGTTCGAAGTTAGTTTCCACGTCTTCGTAAAATTATGCCACAATTATGTTGCAGAAAAACGAAGCAGGATGGACCGTCAGTCGACTGTTTGAGAAGGAGTGGAGAACTGATGGATATGTGACCCTCCCAGAACTGTTCAAGAGGGTTCAGTCTACCGACTTTCGAGCATTCTACGGTGATTACGAAATGGACGTCATTGTTGATGGTGAGGTCGTCGAAACGCGTGGGTTCAGCGTTCATAAAGACGTCTCTACTGAAGTTAATGTGAAGATCGACAACCCCAAGCATGGCGACTCTGTGGCGAAGCGCAGTGTATACTCTGCAGATATGGACCAATTCAACGCATTATTGTAATCAGATTCATTACGTGGACATACATGGACAGTGACACGTGGACATCAAGTAGTGGCATACACACATGATTTGCAACCCGAACGTTGCATTCGTTCACCTTCATTGATTCTAATGAATCTTACGAAAACTATGAATCCATTATTTGATTTATGATTAGTGGATCTATGATAAGTTTAACTATTTTTTAGATATATCTTTGAATTTTTAAACCTTGCTTATTAAACATATGGACATGTTAGACAGCAACGTTGAATTTGTTGTCTGAAAGGTAACTGCCTTACTATTCAAGAATATTTAGTGTTCTTTGTGAAGTTGAAGATTCATTCTGTTAACATTTTGCTGAGGAAATATATGAATATGTAATAGATCTAAATGTTTGTTGTAAACGTTTATTTGAACAAAGTTTAGATTGTATTGTGTCCACCTTTCTCCATACATATGGCAACACAAATTTCCTTATACTTGAAACATGTGTGGACCTGTTGCTTATGTCTACATGTATATTTGAATTAAAACAGCAAAAACAGTTAACTTCTCGCACAAAATTCGAAAATTATTGACAAATAAATGGTGAACTTTTCAAATCACCGTAGAAAACTTTAGAAAAACAAGATACACGTCGCACGAAACTGAAACTGGGGACATATTTTGAAAAACGGTCAAGAAATCCACTTGGGGCGTTAGTAAAAATTGATATGTTTGGAATTTGTGGTACAAAATCGATGCGTCACATTTTTTCAAGTCTCGAAAACCAGCTCTTATTTTAATATTATTTGCAAAATAAACAAACTGGTTATTGTTTTGTAAATTTCGCCATGACAATATTGTGCAGTTAATTTTGGGAAATCAGACCTAAATTAGAAGGTTAAATGAAGGTAAACGTATTGCTCGTCCCATTCGCCTTCAAAACCTTACACAATTTTGAAAATTTTAAAAGCGTTCGTATAAGATAATTTGAACTGTAGCCGTTAAGCAATTGTGACGTCATAAATGCACATGTTCCATTGAATAAATTGTGACATTTTAGTGGGATTTTGATCATTATTTCAAAAGTTATCCCAATTTCAACGAGCCCTGTAAGCGTAAAGTGTTACGTCTTACAGCGTATTTGACGATGTCGGGGTATATTTAACTTTAAAAATATGTCGGATCCCATCAACATTTTGAAGGAAAAATAATTTCAGTGAAATGCGAATAAAAAATACTTCAAAATGATATATAGTTAGCTTTTTAAATAAGGCAGAGATTAACGCTCAAAGCTGAGATCAGTCCGCATTTCTCGAATTGTCCCCAGGTTCGTGCACGTCATTCTAATGATTTTACATGTACATGTACCTTAACAAACTATTGAAATTCATGTTTCTTTCTGAAAAAATAGTGTTATGAGCCCAGCATGATTTGAACAACAAATCTGAAAAGTAAGCTTGAACTGATTCCAATTAGACCCCCACTTTATTTAATTCAGTAATGATTAAATCAAAAGTAGACAATAAATAGACAATGGACTAACGCAACATTCGCTCCAATTTAGCTGTCACACTCAGGCCCGTGTGGGCCATCATGTGAAAACTTTTGAGACAGCTGGACACGGTGGGCAAAATGACTAGTTATACAACAAAATATTCTTCCCACCATACCCAAAAGCCTCACAGTGATGGATCGCGAGCCCACGTGGATAATAAGACAGCTACTTCACATCTATACAGGTAAAAAAACGGGAATATTGTCCGTCCAAAAATATTGTCCTTGTTGTATTGATACCTACCTGTACCTAGCTCCAACTATGTATAGAAATAAGTAACCCAGATTCTGATAAATGGCTAGATTTAAATAAATAAAGCCTGAGTATTTATATCCATATTTTTTCTTATATTTATCTGTTGTCCGAATTCGGATTATAAGTTAGATACAATCGGGGTCATGTATACATAAATTGGTTCTCATTTTCTTTTACTCCAAACAAAAATAAGGCTACCATATCATTTTCATACTTGACAAAATTGAAAGAATCCAGCAAATATGTTATTTACTCCAAAATACCCTAAGTGACCTATGTACTAGTATGGTTTGTTTTCGTGCTCGGTCTATAATTGGGATCATGTCAAGCGTTGTCACAGTACCATTTACATCCATTAATGCCCAGCGTGAACTTATAATGGAAAGATTTGACCACTTTTCAAAAATTAAATCATTTGTACTTTCCATTAAAGATTATCGTCTCACTCGACATTTCGTGAATTATCCCGCTGATGTTTTCAAGTTTTTAAGACACGATCATAACAGCGTTACATTTCGAAATTAAATCACGGGCCGGTGAGAAAAGCATAAACAAAAATATTTAGTGAAATCCAAGAAGAAAGAAGAAACGGCATACTCACCTGTCTCCGCTTTTCTCAGTTTTCTGCACCGGGACCAGCAGTATGACAGAAATAGGTATACTATTTCGGCTATGTCTTTTGACATTATGGTGTGTTCAATCGAACAGTCTCGGGATCTACAAACTAGAAAAGGATGAGCTTTTAACAAACGGAGATATGGAGTCCGATAGGTGGAGCTCCGATTACCAGTGGTGGCCCCTACATGCCAAAGTCTCCCAGATCCAAGGATTTAAGGGCAAAGCTGCTGCCATAACAGACAAGTAAGAACATTGTTTACTTACCTTTTCCAATTGTGTAGTAAAGCATCAGCATTTTATAGTGAATTATTATGTATTATTTTGAAAAGTGATACAGTACGTTTGAAATTAACAACCGCTGATATTAGAATCATATAATAAGGCAATATTTTATCTTCTCATGTGTTTATACCCCAGTATTCAGAGAGTAACGTGTAAATAAACATTGCATGTATTTGTTAAACGACACGTGTAAGTCAGCACTAAATCACGCAACTCATCAAAACAATGGTTAAGTGACGAATATTCACATATCTGATATTGGACATGATCAAGATCGCCCTCTTCCTGGAATACGTGTACAGTAATTGAAACGTCATGAACGTTTAACGATACCATATTTTTTAGGAGATCGAAATGGGGGCTTCTCGGCCAGTGGCTCAAAGGAGACCGTGCTCTACAGCCAGGGAACTACTACATGGAGGCATACGTTAAGCTGTTGAATCATCCCGAGGTCATCGGCTATGACTGGTTCAGGATGGACATGATGTTCAACTATCTTGATAAAGACGGTTGGTGGAGGTTTTATTTCAATAAAGAAAATCAGAATTATGGATCACGATTTTTGTTAAATATAAAACGTGTACATTTAGAAACCATGTCATATACATCTGCCTGAGAATAGAAAAATAATGGTATAAACCAATATTAATCACTTATTTTAGGAAAGAAAGTATACCCCAAAATTGCACGATATCCCCGACTGAGAGACACTGACGGTTGGGTGAAAATTGCTGGAGAATTCGTAGTTCCAAGCAACAGTAAGTAGATATTATCAAGCACCGCAGATATTGTAATGGAAGTACACACTTTGACTGTTTATAATACATTACAGTGCAGTGCAGTGCAATGTAGTGCAGTTTTTATTTCATAAAAAGGCCGTATGGCTATGCAATATTATACAATAAACATGAATTAAATGGCGTAAAGTAACAATATTTTTATGGTTGTTCAATGTTTGTTAATGTATAATCTTCATTTCCGTGTAAGATTAAGCAGAAGAAAGATTTTTTCTTTGTACTTCAGCGACTAAACAGAGGGTCTATTTCTCGAGCCCTTCAAGTCAGTATGTAAACTTCGCCATTGATGAGGTGAGTTTGAGACGGATCACTCCAGAGGAGGACTGGGAAGCTGCAGCGAATGAAATGATTGACGAACATAGAAAAGGAGATGTAAACGTCAAGTAAGATATATTTCGTTTTTTGCTATAAGGTTGACCAATTTTTAATAGCTGAATGTATATGGATAATCATCAGATGCTTGATATTTTACTAAACGGTGTTTTGAAAGTAATTGTTAGATCTCTGCTTCCTGTATATAATAGAAGCCAAACGCAACCCCCCCAGTGATATTTATGTATTGTTTTCAGTGTGAAAATTAACTACAACATGGACCCAAGCTTTGTTCATTTTAAGGTATGATGTAGCCTTGCCTAAGTCGGTATTTTCTTTTACTGATATGAAAGACATCGACTTCAAGGCTTAGTATGATGCAATATAATTAATTGAATATTAACACACACATATAAAAATGTTTTTGTTTCAACACTACGGTGAAGTGTATTAAAAATCTGAAAATGGTTTGCATCATTTTCCTGAACACAGAATCAAATTATTATATGCTCAGAGCGAAATGTAAAAAATCAGTCAACAAAAAAGGATCCGAACACGTAATGTGCCTCTCACTGACCCATGCCCTTTCGCTTTTAATTCATTTGCAACCCTTCTTAGATAAGACAGCTTCGACACGACTTTAAGCTTGGTGCTTTCGTCCGATGGCAGCTCATCAATGGGTCTTGGTTTAGCGATGAAGTCAGGCAGCGATATCAAGATTACTTCTACGATACGTTCAACTCCGGTACTCCCATGTCCGCCTTTAGATGGAGGGTCACAGAGTATCACCAGGTATTTCATTTAGTACAATTATCAGGTTATTAAGAACTTCAAATTCCATTTTTCTCAATTCCAAATATTTGTATCAGTAGGATTCTTGACAGGTAGTTAAAAACATAAATGGGATCATCCAGATGCCAAACAGTATAGTTGAGTGAACACCAAATAGGGGGTTTACATAATATTAGTAATTTGAAATTAGGAACGAAGGGATGATTAAAATCACTTACTATAATATATTATATAATACATTTTCGACCATTACACCAATATAAAAGCGTCTTCACAAACGTCTCAATTTTTTTAAAAGTCATCATGTACGAGTTGAATAATGTATGGGCTTGATTCGATTTAAGGATGAACCGTGGTGGCTTGGAGGCGACAGGGCTGCATATGCTCTGAATGAACGTGGGTAGGTACAAGAAAAGCACAAAACAATTCTAAGAGTAAATACCATTCCAACTTCTGTCTATATGTGATACGAGATTCAGTTGCTCGATATCATGTTTCCTAAGAATTTTATGATCCTTGCATATTTGTGCTCTTGAGAGATTTTAAATTGAACCCGGAATTAATTTGACAAAATTGACTTATTAATTGTAGGGTGAATGTTCTTGGGCAATCAGTATTTTGGAATGATAAAGGATTCTGGCCTAACTGGTTCACGGCTTTGTCTTCAGATGAGAAAGTTGAAAAAATGGAGAAACGAGCGAAGGACCTTGTCGGGCGGTATAAGGGCAAGTAAGTCCAAATTCATATTCAAAGTCACAATATCAAGAAAAACGAACGTTAAGGGGCAGCTGTCTCGCGGATTAAAAACAGGAGCAATGAAGTTCAAATTATTGCCATCGTATTTACGAGTAAAATGTGACTTAAATTTGGGACAACATACAGTGGTCGGAACTAAAGCTGGAGTAAGTGGTCATTGTACTTTGCCAGAGAATTTAAGTGAAGGTTTAAAATCTGTAACTCTTTTTGATAATATGAATTCTATTCTGTACGTCACGTTACGTACACGGCATGTTACACAACACAACACAACACACCTTTAATTTAGATCAAGCTTTGGCTTGTGGTCGCTACACTTTTGCTTGTGGTCGCTACCCTTTATTTGTAAATACTAGTATGTGTACATGTGACAAGATGTTTACAATACTTTTGATTGATATCGTTTTGTAAGACTGTTTGCATGGCCTGCTTATTTGTAAATCCTATTATACGTGTACATATGGCAGAAACTGTGCCGGGTATATTGTACAATTAGTAAAACAGTTGTATGCAACGTTTAATTGTTGCCTGGTTGATATCAAGGTGGTTGATCACCATTAAAACCAAAGATGCTATTCGACTGAAGTCGATGCCCTATGGAAAGGTATAACCCCACCTCTCAACCCATCAGACCCAATCATAGGTAAAATATGTTTGAATGCAGAAATAGCTTTTTAAAAAAATTTGCTTAAAATTTTTTGGAGTTGACTGTTCGGCGACCAAGCCCTTGGTCACATACTCAATCGGCCGGGCGCCGGCCGATGGATCGGAGCATATGTGACCCAGGCATAAACAAGGCCTAACACACAAAAATCTTTGCTCAACTCGAACAGCATGCTACATCACCAAATCATGATTCATGCCTTTTTTTCACTTCACTGCACATATATAGAAAGTATTTATATTCTTAAATCGCTTCTCTCAAACGAATATAAATTTTCAATATCAAAATTCCTTATTAACAAATATTGACCAATGGCTGAGCAGTTACATCCGGGTTCCTATGTTAAAGCTACATCCCCCCATTTTGGATCACTTATCAACGCCTGTCTGTGTTTGTGGATTCAAAAAATCATATAAGTTATACATTTTGAAATATCGGAATTAGGAACACAATTAAGACCAAAACATTAATAGGCTTTGATATGATATGAAAACTTTTGGTTGTTAAAGGGTGACGCATATCGTTTAGCAAATCGAACGCTCGTGTCTGGTGTCGCTCACCGTTTAGTATAAAAGGCCCGATCCCGGAATAATACTCAAGGGTTCACAGGTTCGAGGTCGTTGTGTCAACACCTCTAACTGTTATATAGCATACGTATATTATAGATCGTCACACATTTATAAAAGGGTGATTTTTATTTGACAAATCAATTCCACATTTATGGGTGAAGTTTCAGGATCTTCTATTTGTGTATAATAAGGAAAAATTGGCATCTAAATTTCCCCATAACGTAATAGCACACAGCTTGGCATATGAAATATCCTACAAATGAAACAAGCAAGACAAACCGGTTTCTAATACAAGAATTTATATTGGCTGTTGTACATGTATTATTTGAACGCAATCACTCCCCTTATTTCTTAAAAATGGACTGATCCAGTTGATTCGCCTGGAGCCGCCATATTGTTTTTATACGGGATGCTAATCGGAACCCTTTAAACTAATTAAGGGGAATAAATGCGTACGGCCTCTTGTCCAACCTATACTTAGCCATTATGTCCCTATCATTGAATATATGCCTGAAGTCTGACGTCAATATAGCCCGAGCTTGCGAGGCATATATTCAATGATACGGACATAATTGATGTATTACATACCTAAAGTACATTTACATTGCATTCCATGAAGGTATTATGTAGAATAATGGGTGAAAAAAGACCCAAATTTTACACGATTCCAGTCGAAATCACTTTGTTTCCATGTTTTGACGTCATAAAATTGTCATGGTAAAAAAGTTCGGCGGCTATACAGGAATATATAGCCGTCCTTCAGCTCCATTGACTTCCATACAAATGCTTCGCTAGGTATGTTATACAATAGTTTATTCTTCAGGGTAAACCAATGGCTGGTGAGCCGAGAAAGCATCAGCAAGAGAGGGGATTTCGAGAAGTATACGGAAGATTATGATATTCTAACTAAGATGTTTAATTGGACGAGTGCTGCCGATAGCTCTGCTGATTTAGTGCTAAGCGACAGATTCGCCATACAACAACCCGACTATGCTTCCGTTAGTAAAATATTGGTTAAATATGATTAATTGAAATCGTTTGTTTTTTCACGTATCAAACTTTATACAACCTCATACTTGGTTCTTGCAGTTTTACATAAGAGCGCAATAAGATAAAATATAGCCTAGTGTCGTCTTTTGTAGTGATGTGTTACATCGTGTAAAGACGTGTATTATACCTTTTTTGTAAAGCTAGCATAATAATTACATTTTAGATTCAAAAATACTAAATCACATAATTATCTACATTTCAGGCTATGGTCAACCAAATCAAAACTCTGAAGGCTGCTGGCTACTCGCCTCAGCTCGATGCGCAGGGAACTTTCCTAGAAACGAACGCAGTAGATCCCATACGAATTGCGGTAAATACTTTCGACTTTCAAAGTACAGTATAACCTTTCTAATCCGAACGCAGCCTGGACCTGTCTAATTCAAACGCCATTTGGACCGACAAGAGGTGTTCGGATTGGCGGGTGTTTACATTTTAAGTTTTTTTTAACATGGGATAAAAATGGGATATGGAAAAAGGGGTTCACATTTAGAGTTGTCCAAGGCGTCCACGTTTTAATATTTGTTACATGTTACATGCATGTATTTACTTATTATAAGCTTTGTGATTTTGGACCTACATTTTGGGGGTTTTCAGTTGATAAGGCCTGTCCAAGATTATGTATCCGCCATATAATATTATTAAAATATGTATTTCAAGTAATAAATTAACATTTTGAAGGAAAGTTAATGCCTTGGCTGTATGAACGAATTTTTAACGTTTTATTTGTAGGCTCGTTTTGATATCCTTGCACAAGCTGGCGTCCCAATTATGCTTTCCCAGTTTCAAGTCCAACGTAAGGATGTTGTTGAACGCGCCAATGACATCGAGAAGTTTCTCCGTGTTGCGTTCGCCCAACCAAACGTTGACAGCATTTTCTTCAGGGGATTCTGGGATAGCAGTCTTACCACACCGGACACAAGCCTCGTTGACTCGGAAGATTTCGATGTAAGTAAAAAACCCAACACTGGTAATTGAGCCTTTTGTTCTCTAGAATGACGCATAGGGTTGGCAGTGATACATTACAATATTTCAAGATTGATCACATTATTTAGTCTACTCACAGATAATTTCAGACTAGAAATCTTTCAAAATAGTTTAAAACGATTTCAGATTAACCAGGCTGGGTGGACGGTGAATAGATTATTCAAGAAAGAATGGAGAACAGATGGCTATCTCACCCTGCCGGAGAAGCACATGCGTGAACAAACATCCGGGTTCCGCGCTTTCTATGGCGATTATGAAATGGACGTCATTGTCGACGGCAATGTCGTCGAAACGCGTGAGTTCAGCGTTAAGAAGGGCAGCATTACCGAGATCAATGTGGAAATAAACGAGCCTGAGAAAACGGACATTATTAAACGCAGCGCTGGTGTGTTTAGAGATACCGTCCAACAATTTGAGGCGGTCTATGGCTTGAACTAAATACGATAATTCGATTTACAGTTGAACAAAATTTGATAGACTTGTAAAAAATATACATTTTAGTTTATCAATTTAACATTAGAGACTATTGAACTAATTGCCACAAATTGGGTCATTTGATAAAGATAAATGGTGTTAGGCCTATCAATTAGTGTCCAATAACTTTTTGTTGATAGAGCAGTCCACAGCCATTTAGTGAACACCTTGTTAAAATTAAAAATATTAAATTTGATTAAAGCTGCAATTGGATGTCTGTAATTAAAACAGCTTGAGGTGATGTCTAGTAATCAACTGTGTAGAAGGAAGGCTCTGTTCAGTCATTCTGTAAATATGAAGTATACGACATAATAATAAATCTATACTAATCTCTTGCAAATATGTGTTGTGTGAACTTGTCCAAAGTAGTAGGTGCATGCTCAAACGCCAATTTTCTGTGGAGTGTGTTATATATTAGAGATATCTAGTATTGGTATCAAACAATAGAATTTTTGTTTTACCCATTTTGATGACATTATGAAGGCACAATACAACAATTGCTGGCATTGATCTCGTCGCAGTTGCATAAAGATGCAATATACAAATTGAAATTAAGTGCAGTTAAAATCTATATAGTAATAAAGGTGAACACAATAGAAGCTTTCCTTTATCAATAAATCATATAAAACACTCAGAATTGGGTAAGAATCTTCCCACAGCGAACTGACCCGTACCCTTAACATCTCCGAATGTGGTGGAGAAAGGGGTTGGGGTAACTCAGTCCATATATTAACATGTATACAACTGGAAGAAACTGCGTACACCTGCGTACAACAAAATAAATGAGAGCGCATATCGTAGTGATATCAGAATTAGACAACGATAAGTAATCACATGTATTAACGCATGCGATTCGAGTAGTATTTTTAATTTTCCCCAAAATATGCAACTTGTTTCAAAATTGACCTAGAAACTTCAAATCAAAACATTTTAAAGCTCCCTCAATAACCTCTTCAATCTAATGGTTCTATGTGTACCAGTCTATACAAGTTATAGTGTGGGGGGGGGGTACGTTCGCAACCATCGCACCCCCTAGCTACGCCTATTATAACAGATGTAACCCCTTGCGAGTAACTGATCATCTTTTCTCTGCCTGATACGATTCTACTCAGGACTGTAACGCTATCACTTAGATTAATTGCAAAATATTCCAAAATTGAAGGGTTGTATTTTTGGGTCACGCACTTATCATCCCCTTTTTTGAATCAGAGGACTTTGTTTACTTCGAACGTAGTCTAATAGACTTATTATATAACTGGTCACTTAACTAAATACGATGCTAATGTAAGTCATGCTGTGATATGGAGACACCTTACCGATTCTCTCATATTCAACTTTGTCAAAACAACGGATTGGGGTAAACAAGTTCGCATGCTCTTACTGTTTACATGTATCGAGCTACTCGGAGGAAGACGGTAAAATCTCAAATCTGTAGCTTGAGGGGGATGTTAGACATTGTTTCTTTTCACGTTAGATCATGGTTTTGGGATATACAGGGTCTATTTTTCTTATGACAGATTCACTCTTACAGTTTGCTTTCCCTATTGGGTTTCTTTAAAGTTTTTAGTCACCCTTCCCTTCGGCTTTTGCGCTTATATATTGTTAATAAGTGCAAACTTTTCTATTCACTGGTCCCAACCTGGTTACAAAGACGTTGCATATTTATAACAAAATGGATAAATATCCGTCGGAGGATTTCTTTGTTTTCATCGTTTTCATCAAGAAGGTGGTCGAGTTTTATTCCATGATGGTGAAATTCCATGCAATCTGATTGATCCATGTGACTAAAATATATCCTGTATTTAACGCACTTTCTACTTAGCATTTGATACAGAGTGAAAATGACGTCAGCGTTGGGATACGGTTCAGTATCCCAACGCCTCAGATTTCCATCCAGGATATTACTATTACAAATGCAAAGAACAAGGCCAAAACGATTTTGAAGGAATATCGATCAAAAATATCTATGAGAATGTTGATCTGTTTCTCCGGCCCCAACGAAACGGACTTGATTTCGTGGGGGGGGGGGTTATCTGAATAATCATGAAATAAAAACGTTATTCAATGATTTCTCGTGAAATACAGAACATATTCTTCCCTTCCGATATTCCTCAAATTCTTGGCATCAAATGTTCCACCCCGTAAACGTGACGACGTCATCTGTGTCACGATTTAAAATGAAAGTAAAAAATGAGCAACTGCCAAATCAGCATGAATATTTTGCAATTTGACAAATATACTTCTCGCACGACATTACTTATTTCGTGAGAATCTCTGTTCCCCCTGGTGAGATGGCTTTTAAGCATTTAAAGCACCCGGTTAATACAATTACACTAATGCAACAAGTTCGAAAACAGACACAAATCACGAACATTGGGAGAAGCAAAGTTGATGCAAAAGCTATCGAAAAGTAAGAAAGAGAGCTCTGTAAGATTTCAACAAAGAAGATGTGGCTGCTTCAAAGTGCTGCCATTGTAGGCTTGATGGCTGTTACCATACATGCAGCTTTTGTTGAGTTACACCCTTCTAGAATGAGGAGAGCGGAAACTGTTGCCGATAATGGACGATTGGATCAAATAGAGGGTGGGTGGATTTTTATGTTGTGCCCTAGTATAGACGTAGCATGCCCTTACGGCCAAGGCAAAGGTCTCGCCAATGCTTACATAGAATATCATATTATTTTGAGACGTACAAGTTTGAAAAACGCTTACAAAATATTGATATAATAGTGATAGTAACTTATTTTTTGCCTCTTCAATTTAAGTTTGATTCGCCTGTTTTGTATATCCAGGGTTTGCAACTGTATATACATGGTTAATAATTCTCTTACTTAAACATTGATATTAAAATTATGGCTTGGGACTTTTTCACTTAACTAATGACATGTACAGTAGTACACATATTTCCATAAGTTTTGCATCCAAGAGTCCCTTTTAAATTACATATTAAAGGGGAGTATATCATTGTATGTCTGTTTATGTTTTTTACTGATTTCTATTGAATTCTTAATATTTGCTAAAGAAACCTCAGAATTGTCTCAAAAATATCGCGTCTATTTGTTGAGAAAACGCACCCAGGGTTGTTTTGCAGATCACATTTTACTCTTTTTCACATGCTTTCTCTAGAAATGTTTATTCATGATCCCCGATGAAAATGCAATTGTAGAAAAATTGGAGATGTTACTCGATGATAGCGCAGACAGGATGAACTCAATGGAACAAACAGTCGAGGTGATGTCACGCCAGCTGGTGATGCAACAGCTTTTCGTAGAGGAACGCATCCGTGGGGATGGACAATCTGGTATAAAACAGGTACATATTCGTATTACATTTGCAAGAATAAGACATTGCCGTTAAGATAACATTTAGTCAACGCTTTAAATTTTGGTATTGAATTGAATTGAAATTAGAGCATACGATCGCATATAATTACTGCAGGCGGATAGGCCTACATGTGTAGGCCTATGCGTACCCAAATGATTAAAAACACACCGTAATCATGAGGGTTTCAATATACCAATACGCGATAACGTTTAATTTCGTTCAGTTTAGCTACCTCTCGTTTGAAGAGCTCTCATGTATGGTACAACTTCGTCTACATCCGGGTTCTTTCCCATTGGATTACACAGGGGTGCTATTTTCAATGCCGCACTGCGGCTCTATTAAACATTTATATAGAGTTTCATTTGCACAAACGATAGGTATGTATGTAATTAAGATATATGACAAAGCTTTTTGAGCTATAATCCCCAGATCCGAAGAAATGTGTAGTTGAAAATGCCGTCCAATTCCAGTGACGTCACTGATATCCCAGAAATTGCTCAGACGCCATCGAAGATCGAAAAATATAAATAATGTTACTTTGAATCTCCGATTATCTTTCTGATCATTGAATAGATTGGATTATATAACTATGCTTGAGGGCTGATGGAACATCAGAAGCTGAGAAACGTTCAGAGTAATCGACTCGTCCGGCGGGCCAGTGAAAATTTGTCCTTTCCAAAGCGATGCATCATGGGAGATATTTATGTAAATTACCACCTGAACTCTTATCGCACGGTGCCCATGTCAAGCCGCGCGCCTACTTAGGCGCGCAGTTTGTTTCGATCACAAACTGCGTGCCTAAGAACATTGGATCATTTAAGTTGGAGTCTGTATTTTGAAACGTTATTTAAAGACATTTATCCTGCATTGTTTTCTTGTTCAATGCGTTCATTCTGTGGCGAATATACGAATCTTGCAAATACTAGCAAAAACTGTGTGCAAATGAATCTTAGTTTTAAAACATAAGCAGATTAATGGCATTTTCGTCACTGATTTAATGGGAATTTATACGTAAATCGATCTAGCACTTTAAACATACATGACAAATACTTTAGACTCGTTTTATATTTAATTCCTTACACATTTATCATGTTTAATTCAAAATATTTCGAAATAAAACAGATAATCAGGAGATTAAAAAGAAATAAACCACAAACGCGCGCGCCTATTTTAGCCAGAAATTACAATCTGTGCGCATACACTATTAAAACTACATATTATCATTGGAATTTCTACAGAGGTACGTGTAGGTGTTTTCGATGTAGCTTTGGAAATTTTGCTTTATCGTCAGATTTTATGAGATTTTCATATTGAAAGTCAAAATGTATAATAGAAGTGACAATTAAGTTGGGAACGAAAAAAACATTTATTTTCAGATCACCTTCTTGGTGGATGGACTCTCATAGTGTTTCAATTATGGGGTTCTACTATTAGACACATATGTGCCTTATATGGCGCTTATGTTTTCTAATAATACAAAACAAGCTTGGATAGGCAAGCAGTTTTGAAATATTTGGCACGCAGTTTGGGAAATACATGTGAATATAGGCGCGCAGTTTGACAAGAAAAATGTTTAAATCACGTTTATGGCGTATTATCGTTTTGAACACAAACTTGGCTGTTTTAATCAGATGGAGTGATCCTATATATTCTAGCATACACAGACACAATGGCTGAATAAACGGCAAATGACGATAAAAAGACATAGATATAACTTTACACTGTAAATTTTGAACACAGAAGTTACTTAAGACCCTTATATTGAGATAACTAGGTTTACATCGGGAAAAACATTGAGTACTATGAGTAAATTAAGTTCATCTTCACAGAATGGTACTATCTTTAGAACGAGACTAACCTTGTATTTTTCGTATTTTGGCTCTTTTTGGGAGTCGTGTCCTCCCCGTCTCACATTTTGAAATATGCGCGCAGTTTGTCAGAGTTTCAAACTGCGTGCCTAGTAGGCACGCTGCTTGACATGGGCATCGTGTTATCGCGAATAGGAAAATTGTTTATCATTTTGTATTTGAGGATGTTTTTGAGAAGCATTGGACAGCTTGACAATAAAGAGAATGTATTCATTTTAGGTGCGTAGTCGTGAAACAGGTTTCAAGTCTTACCACCAGAGGTCGTACGGTGGTGTCGGAGTGGCCGCTATGCATCAACATGCAAATAACGAGCGAACATGTGGTCTCGGAGAATTCTCAGCCGTTCTCAACGGGGTAGAGTTCCGAACTCGTCATAATGACTATCGTCTGTACATGCCTAGTAAATCAAGCAAGGAATTCCACGAAGTTGAGAACGTTCCATTTCCTGATGTGCCCAAAGCGGTACTTGACAAGGAGACGATTGATGACCAGATCCTTGAAATGCGTGAATGGTTCAAGGCCTGGAAGGATCAAGACCACAGTAAAAGGGACTACAGGGACCACTTCAAACCGGTATTGTGTTATTTGGAAGGGGCATGGTTGGACCCTGAAGAAAGCATGGAATCATTTTTTAGCGACAGACATTTTTTGGATGCCTCTAGTTGGTTTGACCTTCAAGAAAAAATCAGGCAAGTCAAGACCACAAAAAGAATACCATAATGAGCCAGAAATTATTTTATAATACATTTTTCCCACTTTTATTGAATGAATAGCTTTAAAGTACTCGTGCTGGAAGATATCACCGTTTAACATCATTTGCCATACAATACATGGTCCTTTATGTTATAAAATATCATTGCACATAACTCTTATAAGTCAGATAAAGAAACCTCTATTTTATGTTTTTGGCCCACCTTGTAGTTTACGTCCAGGCCATTTCATTTGGAAATATAACGACAAGTCAATAAAGGTATCATTTATTTTGCAGGTTTACTTCGTACAGTGGAACTAAGTCGACAAAAGAAAACCTTGCATTTCTACCCGTCTCCATAATGGGCATGAATAACGCCAGCCAACCAGAGTTCGCTCAATGGAATTACCGTATTCTATGCCATCCGATCAAGAAAGAAATTAAGCTGAACAGACTTTTACTTGTTGACGATTTCCAATTTCGTATGAGACGGAACGCAGATATGGATCAAATACTGAAGACAAGGAGTGCACGGTTTAAGCTGAACACAGTTGATAGTCCCGATTATTTTCGAAATCCATCAACAATGCCGACCTTGCTTGATGAGATCATGAGCGAGATCCCTGGTAAAGATAACTATCCCGGAGACCTCAGAGATAAAACAGTTGACGGTCTAGAAATCACTGACAGGATAACCCAGGAACCTCTAAACGCGGCCTATTATCATCGGTTCTTCAGCACAAAGGACAAGGACGCGATGGGACAACAAACGTATCGCAGGTCATTTGGGGATGATTCTCTATTCATGGCCAAAACCAGTCAACCAGGCGTTAATGAGATGTCCCTAGATTTGTGTGATAAGGAGTCTGCAGACTATGATGCTGACCATTGTATTCTCAAAGCTCGTTATAGTTTCGCAATTCCAATGGAGCTTGTCTGGTTGACGCCACTAAGTAAATGGAATCCTTATGGGTTGCAGTACAAAGGAAACGCCTTCGAGAAGAGTAATATGGAGAGTAAATCAGTCAATGCGAACGGTCGCAACGGTGGTTTTGAGGCAGACAAAGCGTTCAACGGCACGAATCACGCATTTTACTACCAGACGCCTGTTGAGTTCTACACCGGGACTAATGAAAAAGGCGACGCTGCGGATACTGCAAGGGACTCAGTTGGAGTCCTGGATCCCGATGGAAAAGTTCGTAAAGTATCAGCAGCTGGTACTTACATTTTATTCCCGGACATTCCCGGCGTTGGCGTTATGAGACAGCGCTATCCTATTATGCCATTACACGAGGAGGGATCGACCGCCTTTCAAGAGATGCAAGCGCTACGTGACTTGGTCATGGAGGGAAAACGGCGTCATAAACTATACAGAGAAATACCCGACTTTGAAGGTATCGATCCTGATAAATCGGAAGAAACTGAGGACATAACTCTCGAGACCGACGTGGCTACGAAAAGCCCACATACTCATCTTGTTGAACTCACCGCTGAACAAGTCGACAAACTCAAAGATGGAGACGTGGTGGAAGTCACGACAAGTGCTAAGAATAACCACTCCCACTTGCTAAAGGTCGCCTACTCCTCGGGGAAGTTTACCATTTGGAGCTGCGACGGAGCCGTGGCGTGTAAAGATGGCCACTCCCGATTCTTACACCCTACATAACCCATTCGAATATTTTGGAAAAAACAAATACATTCTGCTTTCTTTAGAAATGTACTTTTTCTAGGACATTTGCTTATTTTAAAGTTTGAGCATCCAACTCCTCTTATTAAAAAATCTAGAGCCAACGTTAAGAAACTTTTTGATCGGCCCTTGTATTGGATTAGATCCTATGTTTTCAGATTAACTAAATTCTGTTTTTTATAACACGATTCAACAAGGTATAATAAAATTGATCTAATCTTGCAAGAGTGGTTTTTCTATCTTAGTTTGGATGAGTTTGAAGACTATCATGCGTCAATATGGCTGCCAAACCTAAATAATCCTTTGAATAACCTCTTCCACCATATCTATAAATATCAATTGATATATCAAAGAACAGAATTGTTGTCTATTTCATGTCTAATTTGAAATATATGATGCCCCCGAATGAATTACAGATTTTTAAACGAAATTTAATGTGCATTTTTATCTTTCTTTCGAGAAGGGCTTCCTCATTTTCACAATAACTTCTCTTTAGTACTTCCAACATATACATCAAGGTATGATGCAAATTACATGCAATTTACATCTCGTGAGTTTCAATGACCTTAGGTTCATTTTATAAAAAAATCCCGAAGTTCGTTTATATCGCAACCTAAAAAGGTGTATATTAAATATTGACTTTCCTGTTATCTCAAAATGCGCTTGGAACCGTACCATTGGATTAATATGGGAAATTTCTCACAGAGAAAATTCTAGGGATTAAGGAATATGTACCATTTACACAATTTGAGAAATTATTGGCAAACATGGAATCTATTAAAAATAGCATTTATAGTATTCGAAAGCGAACATGATAATTGATTCCCAGTCCTCTGAAGTTTGAAAAATGAAAATACCTGGGTGGTTATCCATAGATAATCTTTGAAAATGAGAAATATTTTTTGGGGGAATTATACGGTGTTATCTTATATGTTTTAAAGTGTATTTGATATTTTGGGATGAAAAACATAAACGAAATGCATGAAAGACTTCCCCGAATATTCTACTAACAACCCCCCCCCCCAATATCCTTTTTGCATGGTTCAAATTGGCAAAGCATCAATATAACTAACACCCCAGTCACATTTCCTACGGCGACCTTGCGGTCTATCATTTCTGCGGCCAGTAACATTTCTACGCTCGCCGTGGAATTTCTGCGCTCAGCTCATACTTTTGCAGTCACATTTCCCACGGCAGCCGCACGGTGAATTTTACATTTCTGTTGATAAATAATACTTTTTTCATTTTATTTACATCGGGACAATTTATAAATGTTATTCATAGTGCTGGGATGTAATATCAAATGAAAAGTGATCGTAAAACCGCATTGACAAATAATGATTCAATCTTGTTGAGCCAGTTGATTTCTACGGGGACCTCAGATATGAACTCCGAGTTATAATTTCTACGCCTTCCCTGCGACCTTTAAAAATCTGCATTCGCCGCACGGAGGTCACAAGGCGAGCGTAGTTTTTCTACGCTCGCCGCAGAAATTCACCGATTAAATTGATCTGCGGTCGACTTGCGGCCGCCGTGCGACAATTGTGACTGGGGTGTCAGTGTGAGTTCAGCTCGCTTACCATGATTACGACATAAAACGAATGCGTTATTGATTATTTCACGCACTGCTGTCATGTGAAATACTGTGTTCGGATTGGCTGGAACCGGACATACCTTATCCAGCTACAGAGTGGGCCGATAAAAATTGGAACCTTTTTTCCTATTTATTCAATTGTCTTTATTTTTGTAGTTCAATCCACAAAAATTCAGATAATGGTAAAATGATTGTTTGTGAAAATGTTAAAGATGAAAATATGTACGTATGTATGATTTATTTTTGGCTTGTCATGGTCATAATCTGTATTCTGCATTTGTCATGAAAAATTTCCAAATTTTCTCTGCTTGAGACATCACTGCTGAAAATACAGTATCTTTCATACCATACAATATGTACCATTCAAATGGTCTCAACACAATTTCCATCAATTAAAACACATGTAATTGTCTTTAGGAGAAGCAAGACATGATCAGGAATTTTCCTCCACACTACCTATTGTTAGTAAATAGACCCAACTTGTGAATAGAAATATATATTATAATATTATTTACATCCAACACGAATACGTTTTGTTCAATTCACAACAAGCATTTCTAGGGAGTATCAAAAATGGAATTTTCGCGAAAAGTTCGCGCCGCAGATTTAAATTGTTTCACAGTAGTGTGGTATTCTTGTTACTATGGCAACGTAGTTTTTTGATTTTTGTCATACAGGTTATCTATCATACCAGGACCAATTCCTGAAAATTCCTGAAAAGTCAGTATCTTCATTAGTATCTGAGATATAGAGGTTTTTTTAGTATCCCCCGCAGATTTTATCGGAGTGTAAGGAAACTGCTCTGAACAGGTCGCCCAAGGATGCCACTTCACAGTTCTGGTATTTTTGAGGTCCCGACCCTCTATTCATGTGAATAGTTAACCATTGTAAAGCTACTCATTGTAAACTGACACCATAATCATATCTTCCACGAAGAAGTCAATAAGATATTAAAACCAGAAAAACACCACCTTTCTTCTATATACCGGGGGTAGGGCACTATAAAATCATATTAAAATTACAAAATAGTACTTCATCACTATAATAGATATATTACAATGTCACACATAGCTAGGGAATGATGTTAGAATACTACTTTGAGCAGTTAAAGTTGTCATATTTTGCATGAAGCTACAAATATAACATAGGCAAGAAAAAAATGACAAAAATTGCATATTTTTCTAATTAATTGTAGTTTCCCGAAACCAACAAAGCTATCGACCTATTACTTTAGGATAGTATTCATCTCTGTACTAACAATGTATGCTGTAGAACTCAGAACAATAGTTTATATATCCTTTGAGTTATGAACTAATATTATAGTGCACCTTAAAATATTTTCCTAGGTGGGTAAAAACGCTGAAGATCAGTATCATGGCCATCCCATGGCCGGCATCTTTGAGTCTGTTAGTTTGATGAACCATCGCCTGGAATAGGATACAATACGATTAACAGAATGGTATCCAAACATTGGCATACTGCTCATAAAGACTTTCCTACGTTAATACTGCATTGGTATCATGTACATTGCCAATCTCAAACGGTACTATACAACGCTGTTTATAAAACTGCTCTACAGCGTTGTAGAAACGGTATTGTACTACACTGTTCGAAACAGTGATGTAAGAGTAGCACTGTACATCGCTGTAAAACGCAGTGCTTGAACTACATTGTTTAGTACTGTTTACATCGCTGTAAAGTGCTGCAAAATAGGGTTAATGTCAAACATGAAAGGATGAACATAAATAAGCATATTATATTCTCTAATTATATGCATTGATCAGCATGTTTTATCGTAATTTGTTAACGCATCGTTTTGTTCTTTTCATCTACCATAGAAATACCATATGGAAGCAAATTTTAAAAGGTTACTATGTAGTAACCTATTGTACTTACGGAGCTTAAAAAGGACATTCAGACAACACCATTGTTGCTTAGTAACAGTGTTGCATCGTTATCGGCAGCTCTAGCAAAGTCAAACATTTTTGTCAAAATATCAGGATTCTTTGTATATGTCTCCGCCCTTTTGTTCATGGCTTTTACCAATTCGTCGCTATCCATGTTTTTCACCCATCGTGGCCAACGACGATCGTCATTCTCAAACACAGGTTGTCCATAAATATTCATCCTAAAATATTTGGGTATTTATGTAATTTGCCAGACTACCCCACTCAAGAGTAACCTTAGTAACCATATTTTTCATCAAAGTAGAGTTGAATCAATACACCTTGGCATTTTTATTTGTGCTATTATTAATACATTGTTAAAATTTGAAAGAAAGTGTCACAAAACTCCTAATTTAAGACACCTTTCTCAGAATGTATTGATTGTCCTAGTACATGTTGAAACCATTTTAACAAATAAGTGATACGATGAGTTACGTGGTCGAACATGCTAAGCTAGGAGCAGTTGCCGTGAGTTGGAGACACGTGACCGACTTGAGCTTATTCATTTGTTAAGTGAACTTACTGATCATGACCATGTCAATACATCATTAACATTTTCACAAATAATTATTTTATCATTATCTGAATTTTTGTGGATTGAACTGCTAGTATAAAGAAAATTGAATAAATGTATGTGTGAATTTCTAATAACAGTTAGGTTATTGAGGGGCCATTTTGAAAAATGATGGCAAAGATGACTGCATCATCAGCGTACGATATCTAGTAGTAGCAAAAGTAATTTCAAATACTTATCCATCGATTTCATTTCCAGTATTAATTTAGTTGCATTTGTACTTCAATAAAATCTCCCAACGTCATTTAAGTATGATGAATTCATCAGAGAATAAATACTATTTCCTAGTTCCGAACAACAGAGCACATGGAAAAATATTCGGACCGATTACGATCTTTGTCAATGATACAGCTTTTCATATATGTTTTCAATACATTTTGATTAATTTTGCCACAGTCCATCGTGACGTATTCGATCAAAAGAGAATGGATGTATGATGAATATAACCACAATACAATACCTTCTTTGAGTGTAAATATCCATCAATCAAGGATTTCAGATCGAAAAATGTATAATTGAATTTAACATTGTGAAGTGATGAACGCAGTAGTAAAGCTTATATGCTAAATAAGTGCATCTTTGGTTATACGATCCTATGCTGATCATAGAACAAAAGCATTCA